CAAAGCTAGACCTTCTTTCACATTTTAATTCCACATAGATTGTGTTAATAGCTTTTCGTATATCAAGTAAGATTCTACGGCAGAATGCATTGGACATCATATTTTACTAAAAATTTCTTTTCAAAAATAAAAAATAAAACTCTTTTTTGTCAGTTATCATTAGAAAAAACAAAGACCTTCATTTTATTTTTATCTTTCAAAACAATCATCAGAATAGAAAGCCTATTATGAATGTTACATAACAACAAGATAAGGAAAATTTTCAAGCAATTGCTGATACCTATGGTCGACGTTTAGCAACGTAAATTCGATGAATTTCAAAAGAAATACAGACGACATATTGATCATCAGAAACTAAAACTTGTTTCAATCAAACTTAAAAATTTAAATACTACTTTCTCACCTGTAAATCGTTTAAATGTCATTTGTTTTTATTGAATAGTTGTGGAGTGTGGATGTAGGCCTATGTAATCAGAAGATCATACCTACACTCACACACCCACATCCATCTTGAGGTATATTCAAAAAAAAAGTAGCTAAATAGCGGGTGCGGCAGAGAAAATTGTCGGCTATTAATATGCTGTTTTCTCAAATAAGACTCGATCTGAAAGTTTTCTTCAGATCCTAAAATGTAGAGGATCTTGTGTAGAATTTATTGATATATTCCTTTTTAAATGAGCATTTTCCATTTCTCTGCAGTATCGAAATTACTGAATATCATAAAGACGTCAACTGCTCAACGACAAAATCAGAAACACTTAAAAATCAGTTTTTGCCAAGTTAGATTGAGTTCAAAGTTCTCTTTCTTGTAGTGCTCGATGTAGAATTATTTGGTGCATATAGTGGTGTGTTCGTTTTGATACGCTTAGTTGCCTCTCCCTTGAAAACTACAAAACATTGAGAATACATCCGCAATCCACGGGATCGAATTTTTCTTCATCAATTTTTCCGAAAGTCAGTCCTAGAATAATAATCCTTTTTATATAAACAGACGCAGAATTTTGAGCTCTACAACGTCTACTTCTTTATTAGAGTTGACCTCTTTCTCCAACCGAATAACGAAGTTGAAATTTTTCTCGTGGCATAAAAATGGGCCATTAATTGATAATTAGGCATATTTTGTGTGTCGTTTTTTAAATAGTAAAGTTTCGCGCAAAAATTTGGTTTTGTGTCTAATAACTAAATGCTCTTCTCTCCTTTTTATAGCTTATTTGAATAGTGTATAAAACACTATTTAACAAATATAAATGGCATTTTATTCCAATGAAGTACTGAGCAGCTAACGTTTTTTGTGGCACCCAGTAATTTTGATGCGACAAAAAAATGCCAAAAGCTATTTTAAAAGACTATCCTTTAATTTTAGAACTAAACTTTTTGGTTAAGTCTAACTTGACTAAAACAGTCCATCAAAAACCGACAATTTCTTCTGCAGCCCCCGTTATTATATAAAACAGCTCCGAATCTTTAGTTAATACCGATACTAATCGTTCGAAAAAGTATTCACTTGGGAAGATTTACAATAAATAAATTGGTAACTATTCATGAAATAAGAACGAATATAATGAAAATAGAAGAGTTGATCTGTTGTTTTAGAAGCATAAATAAATGCAGAGATGAACTTGAGATGTTTATTGATATTAAATAGTGAAAATGAGCATGAGTATGAAATAGAATAAAAATAGTTGAAAAATAGAGGTAGTAGACGATCGCTGGTTACATCATGTTTCATGAGAAAATTATTCAATGTTTGTTTTTTGGCTCTTATTTGTTTTCTCCTTGCATTTTTAATCAATGTTATTTTTAATACCTTATTATTTATTCAGTGTTCGTTTTGTTTTTTTTTTATGTATACGAATAAAATTTTTTTTACAATTGAAAGAATCTCAATTTTTTTATTAATGTATGTTGTAGTTAATAACTTGCTAATTATATCCATTAAACTGATCACTCGCTTAAAGATAGTTAACTATTTAAATATCGGTTATTTAATTGATTCTTGGTGACTGAAGACTTTTTTTATGGAAAAGATTTCTGGATGAACTCAAAAATTTTAATAAAAGAAAATGAATATATTCTTGTCTTAGGGAGAATGAAATCAAAATAAAAAAAAATTGTACTTCCTCTATATTGAATGATGTTGACAAGAGTACTTGATAATTTATTTCATATTCCACGATGAATGAGTATCATTGACCTTACAAATCCGATTTATGATTTTGTTTTTATCAATAGAAATTTAGTTCTATGGCACAAGAAGGATAAATTCTCGTTAAAAAAAAACTACACAAATATATTTCATCTCGAAGTTCTACTCGAATACATTTTTTTCAGTTTCTTATAAGTATTGACTATAATTTCGTTCCATTTGATTTACTTCGAAATAAAGACGAAACAATTTCGTATCTCTCCTTTAATTTTATTTTCTAGAATATTTCATTCGTTTATTGAAAGGTTCGAACTACATTTAAAGATTTGATTTTAAAAAAAACTAATAGAATATTCAAATAGATAATATATTAATTCTAATAAGATCTAATGAATAGATTAAAACAGTTTTGATATCAATAAATGCTCGAGTATGAGCGTCCTCTATTCAATACTGAAACCGACCATTGAAAGATGAAAGAAAAAGGTGAAAAAAGAAAACAAAACCTGAATATAGTTACATGGACATATAATTAAATAAAACGAAACATTTTTATTAGTCAAAGAAAAAATGTCACAAAAAGTAAATTATTTAAATAATAATTTGTCTTATTTTTATTTTGATTATTTAGGATGAAAAATCTGTATCATCATCATCAGTAGAACTAAAAGCTCAAACTGCTTTTGATGAAATAAATAAACGTGCTAAAAATCAACCCGTTCTTGTTAAAAAAATAGGTGCTATTGTTTTATTTGATATAACTAAAGATGGAAAATTTGAAAAAAGTTGGAGTAAGTTTTGTTTTTTCTTAAATAATAAAATAACATAATAATTGAAAATATTTTTAGCTATTGATGGTAAACAAGGTATTATTTATGAAGGAAAACCAAATGATGATACTACAGCTCAAGTAACAATAACAGTTGATGATAATGATTTTTTTGATTTAGCTTTAGGAAAAGTGAATGCACCTGTTGTATGTATTTAACATTTATTCACTTTTACAATTATTATATTTATTTTATTTTTTTCAAGCTTTTTGCTAAAGGAAAACTCAAAATTAAAGGCAATGTTATGTTAGCACAAAAATTATCTACACTCTTCAAAGAACAATCAAAATTATAAACTAATATATTGTGACAATTTTCTCGTTTCTCTTTTCTATTGGTAATCTCACGAAATAATTGATTTGTTTTATTGAGAGAAAAAAAAAAGAAGTAATCCAATATGATAATCGATCAAAGATGTTGATTATAATTAGTGACTATAATTAACATAATATTATTATGAATGACATATGTTTAATGACACACAAATCTAGTTATAGAATATATATACTCATCTATAATTTATTCGGTTTTGTTGATAAATATATCGATTGAGACATATTATATATCATTTGAAGTACATCCTTATATATTAATCCAATCAACCTTTGTTCTTCAATATTGAATATGAAAATAAATTCAATGTGGTATAAGTATAGACGGTGTACTCGTGCATATGTTTGCTCTTATACTCTACTAAAACAATAAATTGAAGGATTTCGAGCTATTCGATCGTTTTTTTTTATTATGTTTCATACAACACGCAATATTCGTTTGTCGTTTAAAATAACGACGTCAAAGATAATAGAGAAAAGAAAGACAAATTACATATATTATTTTTATGAACAAGAAAAGAGAATGATCATACCAAAAAATGCTTAAAAATAGAGAATGAATAATGCAAATAAATCAAAAAGATATATAATATTACTAAAAGTAAATATCGTCAAATGGAAAATAGTAGTTACATCCATATTGATATTTAATTAGCGTGGAAAAAAAAAACAAAGATGATTCATGAAAGAATAATAATAATAATAGCTTGAATATTATTTCTAGTTGTGTTGCTGTCCTAATGTATAATTATAATATAATATTATTCTTCATCAACATATAACTTATTCAGTGTTTATAAACAAGACGAAGATAATTATAATATAAGTGTGTTAACATCAAACAAGTAATGACAGGTATCTTTACTTGAATTATTTTTAACTAAATCCATATTAATCAAATAAGTTCAATGAATATTTTTATTTATTCTTTTAAATAAATCCTACTTAACTAAACTATAAATGAGAAAAAAAAAAGATTCATTTGACGAGTGAATAATATAAATGATAGATTTTTTGAGGATTTGATTGAATAGAATAAATACAAAAAAAAAAAAAGTCGAATAAGTACCTAATATATAATGATTTATATAATCTATTATTATTTTTCTTGCTTTTGGCATTTACAATTGACGTAGCAAAAAAAAAACGCAAATAAGAATGAATGTGAACCAGAAAATGATGACGATGGTTGACGTCGTCGGAACTCTATTCGATTAAATTAATCAGTCGTTTCTGTTCCTGCTACAGATTGGATCATGTTGTCATCGTTTCTTTGTTGTTCGTTAATATTTTTCTTCTTTTTTCTCTTTTTTTTTTATTTTTATTTTACTTTTATTTTGTTCTTTGCTTTCTATTCCATCATTCACTCCATTTCTCTTTCTTTCAATAAGAACGACGATAGTTGCATTACAAGAAACAACTTACTACTCATTATTGACACAATCGAATAGTGATTTATTGTAAAGCAGACATATTTATATTTATTCTTATAGAACTTGTTTTTGTTTTTTTCTTACTAATTAAATAATGAGTGATATGAACACTAATCGACACCGTTGGTCATGGCGAAGTTGTTTTTCTGTTGTTAAACACAATAAAAAAGCAAAAAAACCCATTAATCATCAATCAATGTGAGTCAATCATTATCACATAGAGAATCTTTTTTTTTTAAGCACATTTATATTGTTGACTATGTTTAATTTGAATATTTATTTTATTTATTATAGTTTACAGAAAGTTAATTCAAATGATAATACACATAATAAACATATAGTAAAAGTCGATGAAAATTCGAATATTCTTAATAGAACAATTGAAACACAAAATCATATCGATACTAAAGATGAATCTTATTTAATATCGGAAAGTAATAATATGTCAAATGAATATGATAAATCTTGTATAGAAAGTTCGTGTATTATTAAAATTGATCCATCACATGATGATAATGAGAAGAAGTTGATTGACGGTGATACTATAGAACAAACTGATTTAGAAGATTTTAATTCATCAATTATCAATTCAAATCTATCATCAACAATAATACCAACACAATTTGATTCTATTGTTGAACATTATAATGAAGATTATTCAGATGATATTCAACAAACAACACAATTAGTCAGGTGAACGTTTTTTACATTTTATATACACATATATATTTATATATAAATTAATAATAAATGTATATTTTTAAATAGATTATGTTGTGATCGTGAAATAGTCGATGATTCAAATAATCTTCATTCACGTTTATTTGATTTAAGTAAAATGAATCATGTTGTAACACAATTTAATGAAAATGGATATTTACTCAATGAATTTACACGTCAATTAGATAAATTAAAAATCAAAACTGATTATATACTTCGAACTACTGAACATATTCCACGTGATGCTGAATTACTTGAAGCACGGTATAACGAAAAAAAAATTCTATAAAATGATGTTGTTGTTTTTTGAGTAGATATTCAACATTGTTATCTACAATAGAAACTCTTTCATTGTTATTAAAAATAGCACAAATTCCAGCATGTCGTTCTCTTATAAATCGTCTTATTTTTTCAATTGAACAACGTATGGAACAACTAAATAAATTTGTTCAACTTGCATCATTATCATTAAATAATAGCCGACAACGAACAGATATAAATGATGAAGATTTTTTATCATTTCGTAGTGCCTTATCATCATATGAACAACTTTTTAAAATATCTTAATTAAACATACTTGTATCTATATTTTTATTCATCTTTTACAACATTGATAATTCGTGTTTTTTCCCCTTCTATAGGATCAATCAAATTTAAAATATTATTTCGTTTTATTTTCTTGTTGAAGAAAAACCTTATCATATACGTATATTATATATTATCCTATGATCTCAATAATATGCATATATACATGAAAATAGCCGTGTTTCCTTGTCAATATTAATTTACTTGTTATTAGTTTTATAGGAGCATTTATTGAGATAAGATTATTTTCTATTTTGTTACTATTGTTTTGTGTTTTTCTTTTTTAGTATGATAAACATTGATGAATTGGACGAGTAGCGTTATCGCTCAGTTCCATGAATTTTGAATTGAATTCTTGATCTTGACCCAAATTTCTCTAATTAATTTTACTAAAGAACTCGAAAACTTATGAAAAGTTGATGCAACTCTTAGCACTTGGTGTCACGTATTTTCATAGAAATGTAGTGATTAGTAGAACGGTCTAGTGTTGAATAGACTGCATTGATCTTATTTCGAAGTAGTCGAGTCTTTTCAGATAATTATTAATTTTATGCAATGAGTATCAAGTTAAAAGCGAAATGATCAATAGGACTAGCGAGTGATGATTTTCTGGTCGACTTTTAACTGATCAATTTTTCGAGATCATCTTGCTAAACGGAACTCTAGAACTGTGGTTTTATTTCAATAGATGTTGCTACGAAGTACTTTTTGATGAAAATGAACTGCTGACTACTATAATTGTCTTGCTGAGTATTATGTCATCTTCCTGATGGCTATGACGTTCTGCTAAGGATTATCTCATCCTGCTGAGCATGACGTTTTAATGAAAATGCATACCATTAAGTACGACGGGTTCTATCAAATTTTGATAGGATTTCGAGCTTATAAAGAAGCTAATGAGATGAATTTTGGTCGAGTTCGAAAGCTCATCGGAAATTCAGATTGAAGTTAAATTAAAGTCTCGCTTACCACCATTCTCAGTATAGACGTTCAGTAGACCATTCCATAACATTAGTTATGTCTAATTGATATAGAAGACACGCTTGTATATGAGAGAGTCACTAAGAAAAGAGGTAAATGAGTGAATAGAGGAGAGAATGAACACGTATCTATTATCGCTGATGAAGTCAGAGCGTGTAGGCGCATAGTAACCGAGTGGTTTCACATGATTGAACGGAAATAAATTGAAAATAAATGATGCACTTATTATTAATACATGAATATTCTCAATAATTGCAATTCTATTGATTAATTTGAATTTTTTATTAATAATAAAGAGCCAAAATGGCAATTTATGTGATAGAATAAATAAGATAAAAATATATGAAAATAATTCGAAAATATTATATTTAAAATTTTGAAGAATTAAATCATATTGTGAAAGTATTTATTTATCGAAAGTTTTATCGAACAATGATGATTTAACTAAAATAGATTCAGGTAATTATGATAAATAAATATTTATATTACTACAGTCATTTAGAAAAAGATGCTAATCAAATATTAAAACGATATGACCTAAATCGATTATTCATCATAAAGGAGCACTAAATTTATCAATGTTACAACTCGTTCAAGTTCTTCTACCAGTTATACATTTTAATTGTAAAACAAAACAAAATATTTATACTAGTCAATCTTCTTCCTCTTGATTGGATGAATCATCAAGAAATTTTATTCATAGTTAATTATTTCATATTTCTATTGAGTTTTATTAATATAGCTAGTTATCCATCATCTATAAATGCTATTGATAATAGGTTATTCACTAATAAATCTAGTTCGAGTGATCTATTAGATATAAGTGTAAATAAGGCTAGTCTTAACCCTTTGAGGACTGAATTTTTTTTTTGCAATTGAAAAACGGTTCTTCAATCAACCTGTTATATTTGGCTCAAAATGACCAGATAAAAACCTCATAACAATGTATCAAGAAAAGAGAGGGTGAAATCATGCGTTATTATATAGTAGGAGAAAGAAAGGAAGACATCTGAGAAGGATCTATATGATAGGAAAAAAGAGAGAAAAAACCTGCATGAGATGCCAGGTAGGCGACCTATTTACCTTGAAGATTATAACAGTTTAATATGGAGCAAACATTTTCTTTATTGAAAACTAGGTGGGACAACGTATATCCCATGGTCCTCAAAGGGTTAATGAGAATATTCGTAAGTAGATCATTACTATAAGAATTCTTCGAAAAGATTAGTTTTTATATAAAAAAATATCAAATGGTATTGCTAGTTTTCCATCTCAAGGAAATCAATATGAAATGGGAAATAAGAGTGATCGTGAAAATAATGATTGGATATATTAGGTTTATCTTCAATTTATTTGTTTGATAAGTTAATGATTAATAAAGGAACTTTCAGGAAAATCCTATCTATCTCATACTGTTCATTTTGCAAAAACGATATAATCAATGACAAAACTATTAATATAAATATCTATGATGATAATCATCAATTCAGTCATTCTGAATATCATTATTTACATCGTATGTACTTTTTTATCTTTTATTTTATTATTCAAATAATTGACAAGATAAATCTTTTTGTTATCGAATTCACATTGGTCAAGAATATAAATTATCAAAACTATTCAAATGATGCATCTCAAAGTATTTATCAAATGTAAAAAAAAAATAGATTATTTATGCTACTTAGTTTATATATGATAAGATGAATATATATTATAATGGCTCGAATTTCTTTAACAAAATGGTATCGACAATAAGAATAGATTATTTATTTGTTCTTGTCGATAGAATTCATTTATTAAATATATTGAAAAGAGGATGTTTTAAATAGCTATTAAATATGCACAAAATCGGATAAATAAAAAGAGCAAGAAAAAAAAACGAAATGTGCTCAATGCATAATCGATATATTGATTTGAATTAAATATTTATTTCGTATTTCGTTTTCCGACAAGAGCATATGGTAAACCATATAAAGATGATAATAGTTCACTTTTTCGTTTCGTATGAATATATTCTTTAGGATTTTCATCTTGATCTTCATTGCTATTCTCATTAATCATATTTCCATATCCAAATCGAAGATAATCAAATTGAGATAATGGCATACCTTCCATATTCTAAAAATAATTAACAATATATATATATATATTGAACTATATTTATATTATATGATAAATTAAAACAAAAAAAAATACGAACTCCATGAACATTTCGACATTGAACCTTATTTGAAGATAAAATAGCGACGATAAAGAGTAAAACCATCAGTGTGCAATGTACTTTGAACATTTTTTTATTGAAGATTTAAGATATATCTAAAATAATTTCGTTAGTTACATATATTTATCATTAATTACTCTTATAACCCTCAACGTTCTTATTTGAATCAAGTGACTATATAGAAATAAGTAAAAAAAAAAACTCTATATTTGTTCAACACTGCGCCGTTAATATACAAATAACTTGATTGACATGCAAACAAATACTTTTATTTATCTTTATTGTCTATTCTGAAGAACAATAATGTACTGTTCTAGTTGCAAGTTAATAGTTAGTTGTTACCTACCGTTGATAAAAATTAAGTTTGTATATTTAATTAAAAAGTTCTCGATAAATGTCTACTTGTCCTATTGCACTAAAATAATTTATATTTATAGTGAAGATAAAACTAGTGACTTTTCACTCTCTATGTCGTTTCCTGTCTCATTATAGGAATTTTCTTTATATTCTCATCTAATTAAAAGTGGCACATCAGTCCATTTCTTCTTTTTTTTTTTCTTTAGTAAATCGCCTAACAAACATCCTGATACGATGCCATTTTAATAATGTAGTAGTCGTTAACTTCATTTTATATATAGAACAATAATGAGAGAGAAAAAAAGAATCTGATAAGAAGAGGAAAAAAAAGATCATATACTCTTTTCAATATTCCGGATTGGTTTTTTTTATTCGATTTATAATTAAGAGTTTAGTCTCGTTTTGACTTCTTGCATCATTAAAATAGGTTTTGATTACGTCGAAAGAGAAACATTTATGATAAAAAAGACATAATTAAGTACACAAGGTACTCGGGATAAATATGTGTAATGCTTATTATTTTTTTATATCAAAAACAAACATATATAACTAACTACTTAAATAAAAAGCCGATTACGATAAAACGTCAAAATTCATAACAATATCTAAATTGAAATTTTATTTAAAATAACTGTTAATGTTGCATGTTTTATCAATAGATAATATGATAATTGAGATACGATTTATAATGAAATCAACTGACTAGATTTGCATTATAATATCGATAGATTTACTATTTAGATAATTTTCTTTATTTCTAATCATCAATATGTGTTTTAGCTTTGATTACTTTATCAAATTTCCGTTATTGTTAGTCATTCGAATTTTTTTGTCTTCAGTAAGAAATCGAGAAAAATATTTCTTAACTAACAAATAACAATAAAAACATTGAATCAATAATTTATTTGTTACTAGTCATATTCAAATAAGTGAAAGATTATTCAGAAGAAATCTTATATATATATATATATATATATTCAAATGTTTATATATGAATATAAACGAACATATTTAATATTCATTTATTAAGATAAATATAAAATGTTTCCATATAGTTCATCTTATAATAAAATAATCTTTTTTTTAGATATATTATTTTACGTAAATCATATAAAAAAAAAAAAAAAAACATTTTATAGAAGTAAATTTGATTTTATTCTTCAATTGAAAATTGAACATCGGTTTTTTATTTTTTATTTTATAGAATTGTCTAGATTAATTCAAAATAATTGACGTTCAATTTAACTTCATATTTAATAAATGAACTAGTTATCTTGCATTTTTAACAAGTTTTTCAACGATTTTTTTTTATTTTCTTCTATAATTGGTTCAATGTTTATTTTGATTTTTTTTCTTTTTTTTAATATTGAAGATGAAAATTTTATTAAATCGTTTTGACATTCGATGTCTGTTTATGTTGATCGAATTGAATAATATATTTATGTTAATCAATCTATTTCCATATCTCATTTTATTAATTAATCATTTATTTAAACCAAAAATAAATTAGAATATATTTCAAACATTCAAATTTGTTTTTTTCAATTCACATTTTTTTTTTATTGAAATCTAAAAATGTTCTTTTATCATCAACAATATATAAGTTTTCTTTTTTTTTTTTTTTGTTTTATTATACATCGATATTTATTTCTTATTAATTAAATAAAATTGCGTGTTTTTTATTTTATCACATATGCTTAGAAAATGATTATCGAAGCATGAATTCATAGTCGCTTTATGCATCATAGATCATACTTAACATCAAGATAATAACAATTATTTTTTTTTTTAATTTGATTCAAAAATATCCATATATATATTATTAGATTTATCTTAATTATATTCAAATTGTTATTTTAGAAAATTTCTTATTTATTTCATTGAGATTTTCTACTAGTTGACATATCAATTTGAAAGTTAATAGGAAAAAAAGTCTATTTAAACGATTAAAATGATGATGACACGCAAATGCTAAATACATATAGACATGCAAAACAATAATAGATAACACGAAATCTTAACAGATTATATCAGATTCAATTATCTTTTATCGATCATATTAAAAAAATGAATACTATATCACATTGGCCTTTATGCAAACCGAACAACCTCTTTATATAATATTAAATCTTACGTAATACGATAAAGAGAATATCGATTATATTAGAGATGTACAAATCATTCTCGTATTAGTGTTCATCAGTATGACCGCTTCTTCTCTATCTTGAAAAGAGAAGAAAATTTACAGTTTTTCGCTCAGAACTTTTTAGGATACGAGTAGATCACATTAATTAATCAAGAATCATTGACGAACCCCACCATGTTATATTGAGGTGTGACTATACATTCTAATATCTTATTATTATAAAAGAAAAAACATCTTTTGAACTTTGCCTATGTCATTAATTATATTTTTAGGTATATCAATGGCCCGCAATCAGCTTCTGGTGACCTACCCATGCCTAAACTTAAGGAATTTCTCAAAAATCCAACTTTGACAGGATACATGAACTATTGATCAAACTTTGCATAGATGTTGGACTCATAGAAGTACATTAGTAAAAGAAAATTTCACATCTTTATATCTTATTATCCAGAAGATATCTAGGAACCAAGCTGCATAGTTCGGGTTGCCTTTTTTTTTTAAAGAGAATTCATTACTGCTTCGAGTGATGCAAAGGATTTTTCCAAATTTTACTTTCTCGCATTTTTAAGAACATTAAAATCTTAAGAAATTGGAAATCTTACACATAGTTTTCTGAAAAACCTAAGGCTTCTCTATCATCAACGACTCATTAGGAAAATTCGTACCATCATGTGGAAAACTTTGCATGTATCTATCGATAAAACAACTACAGCTCTCTACCTAAAAGTATATTAATCTTTCTATTATTAATAAAACTGAGAAAAAGCTTGCATATATACGCCTGGAAAAAAATAGCTTTAGTCCGTATTTGACTTATATTGTCTCTATAAAGCAACATTTTTTAAAAACCAATTACATATTCGGAAAGCGCGTGAAGTTTTCTATCAACCAGTATATTTATATTCTAACTTGCAACCTATTTGCTGAAAAATAAATCGAGTACAATGAAGGCACTCTCATCATCAGATTCCCACAAATTTCTTTTTGTCATCATCTTCTTAATTAACCTTTTAAATTTTTCATCACCATGAAAATAGCTTTTTAAAAAAGTAATTATATATTCTGATAGAGCTTGAAATTCTCTATCATCCTATATATTTATCTATTATCTTGCCTTTATCTACTGAAAAGAAAAATTGAGCACATTGAGCATACCCTCAATTTAAAAGGATCAAAAATTTACATTTTCGACATTTTTTTAAGTTATAATTACCATGGAAATAAATTTTTAGAAAAGTAATAATATACATTGATAGAGGTTGAAATTGTCTATCATCCTATGTATTTGTTTCTCATCTTGCATTTATATGCTGCATGAAACAAATTCAAGATAAAACAAAAACATATAGGATGATAGAGAATTTCAAGCTCTATCAGAATATATAATTACTTTTTTAAAAAGCTATTTTCATGATGATGAAAAATTTAAAAGGTTAATTAAGAAGATGATGACAAAAAGAAATTTGTGGGAATCTGATGATGAGGATGCCTTCATTGTACTCGATTTATTTTTCAGCAAATAGGTTGCAAGTTCGAATATAAATATACTGGTTGATAGAAAACTTCACGCGCTTTCAGAATATGTAATTGGTTTTTAAAAAATGTTACTTTATAGAGACAATATAAGTCAAATACGGACTAAAGCTATTTTTTTCCAGGCGTATATATAAATTATCAATCGAAGCTCATATCGATGTCATATGACGGTAAAAATTAGCTCTACAATTTAACAGGGTCCAATTTTTCAATTTTCTTCTAGTTTGTCTTCCTAAAAGACTGTTCGGATAAAATATGGAACACCTATACGGTAGTAGGTTCACAACGGTTAGCTGTTTTTTTTTAATAAACATTTATGGACAAATCAAACTCTGTTAAATTGTACAGTTAACTTTTGTCATCATTTTGACTTCAAACCGAGATGTCTAGCGTTTAAAATGACGAAGAAAAATATAGGACGCACAAGGACATGAAAATTGAAAGATTTCACAGAAAAGAAAAACATTATTTTCCTTTACTAAGATTCAGAAAAATCTATGCATTATCCTTAAACCTCATCATAAAGTCAATAAACTCTAGTGCGTTCAAGAGTGAACAGCTTGCTCTATCTACTGAACTATAAATCAAAAAAATCGATACATTTGTTCAAATTGACTTTTTCTAAACGGGTCCTCTTAAAAAGTTAAGCATTCCTACTTAACGCTTACTTAAATTAAAATACAGTTTGAGCGACATCAATATACATTTATTATTTAGTTTTTGATCGGTCTGAACAACTCTACGTTTATACAGAAGAAAAATACTCGTCAAATTCGATTGAATGAAAGCTTTTTCTATCAATCGATCATATTTGAGCAATCCGTTTCTTCACTATTCTAAAATAAAAACATACTGTTATTCGAATCACCGACATTCTTTCTTATACGACTCGAACAAGAGCTTTGCTTGATCTTTTCAATAAGAAAGAAACAGTTTCCTCACGTCCAATGAGTGATTATATTGTAAATTTATTTTAAGTTAATTAACTGTTGAGAAGGAAAATTTCAGGCTAACTTATATGATCTACTGATATCCGGAAAATTTTTGAGCAAGAAACTGTACAATCTTTTCATTATTCAAAACAAAGGATAAGCACTCACGCTCATGAGCTTTAGCTGTATACTCTCCAAGTTCAAGATTATATATAGACATTCTTAAACTTTTTCCATTTCACAAAATTTGTAGTTTCGAACTCATCATGATTTATGGATGTTCTCATAGTTTTGGAGGATATCAAACAGAAAGCTGTCTGGAAATCTTCTAAGGAAATAATCTATTCAAATCCGTAGAGTAGTTTGTGTAGAGCTGTGATGATGAAGAATAGGATCAATATGTGATTCAGATTAGGACCATACATATTCGAATACCTTTCAGATATGTTTTTCCAATATGCTTTATAAAGAAAAAAGAAAACATCGAGTTTTCTAAAAATCAAAACTTATTAGTCATTTTTCTTATTTTCATTGTTCAAAGATTGCAAAGTAAGATAATTTAAAAAAAAAACGAATCTTGTTAAGTTGTAACAACAATAAATCTGTTAGTAGAATAAAAGGTCTTAACATTAATTGGAGAAAATATTCTCAAATATAAATTTTCTATAGATGAATTATCATGATTTTATTAAATAATAGACTAAAATAATTAGTAATCAATGAAATATTTCATTTTATTTACATAATATATAAAAAAGAGAATAATCTAATAAGTAAACTTTTCTTTATAATTATAATTTTTTTTGTTAAATTTAAATCTATTTAAATAAACCATGACTTTTTTTTCTTCTATTTGATTAAATAAAGAAAATATTAATTTCGTCGAAAATCAAATTGAAATATATTCGAAAAAATTCATTTTAATATTATTCTATTAACTTAAACAGATGTCACAAGCATCTGTCTATCCTTCAGTTACAACATTTATTATTATTATTACTCAATTACATATTTAAGTTTTTATATAAAAAATTATAAGAATAGATTGAAAAAAATTTCTTCATTAAATATTATTTTTATTGATCAACATAAATATTTTACAAATCTCTTTAATAATTTCGATTGTTTTTTTTCATATTGTCCGACTGTTATTGTCTCTTTCCGTCGAGACGAACGAATCTAACATAGAACTGCAAAGCATACAGAAAAAAATCTTTCTTTTTTTTTTTCTCTTTCATCATATGCTCTGGCATCTTACACGCCAATCTGTCTACCCCATCATACGAGCAACGAGAGAGAAACAACGACACAAACACACACATTGAATAAAGAACGACAACAATAAACACACAGAGAGACAGACAGACATTCATTTCGTCGACCAATAATAGAAATAGTGCATAGATTCATTCTATCGTTAATTTCGTTGTTTGCCAATCGTGAAAATCTTATTCTAGTTGGACCATTAACAACCAATGTAAGTTATAAAAAAACTCGGGTTGGTTAATCATTTGCCACCAGTTGATTTTAATCACCCAAAAAAAAGAAAGAATAATATCAATTAATCATGGATTTTTATTTTAAAATATGTTCAAATTTTATCTTTTTTTGTAGTCGTTTTAATCAATGGATACACCATTACAGGTTTACTTTTTTTTTTAAACAAATATTTTTATTTTATTTGTTTTTTTTTTTTTTACAAAAAAAAAGGTTTCTCAACAAAGTTCATCAGGATCAACTAGTGGAAATGTAATTCTAGTTAATAGTAATGATATGATTCATCAACGATCAAATCTTGCTGGTCAACAAGTAAGATATGAAAACAAAAAAAGTCTATTAAAATGATAAATAATTTACACTCTTAAAGATAATTCTTAAAACAAGTTCATCACCAACATCTCATACAACACCAGGTCAAATTCTTCAAACAGCTGATGGACAATTAATTATATTACAAACAGCTGAACAACAACAAACTCAACCTACACAATATGTACAAGTTGGAGGACAATGTATTATAATTTAGTTTTTTTTTTAAAATAATTTAAATAAATTATTATTTTTTTTAGTTTTACAAATAAGTAATCTTCAAACAAGTCAACAAGCACAAACAATAACAATTCCAGCAAGTGCATTACAATTAACTTCTAATGGACAACAAATAGTACAATTATCAACACCAACAAAAATGCAATCAACATCATCAAATGGTTCACTTATTATGGTTTGATTTAGTATTTTAAATAAATAAATAATATTTTCGTTAAAAATTAAAGATGGTTCCAACTAATTCAACTCAATTACAAACTGTTCAAATGCAAACATCTAATACAACATCATCAACAATTCCAAATCAAACACAAGAAACAACTGAAGAAGAACCATTATATGTTAATGCTAAACAATATAATAGAATATTAAAAAGACGTGCTGCTAGAGCGAAACTTGAAGCTGAAGGAAGAATTCCACGAGAAAGAAAAGTATTTTATTCTTATTTATTTAATTAAGATTTTTTTTTTTTTTTTATTTAGCGTAAATTTCTTCATGAATCTCGACATCGACATGCTATGAATCGTGTACGTGGAGCTGGTGGTCGATTTGCTCCTGGATCAAAACAAAAAGCATGAACACTTCTTTTTATATTTATCTCTCTCTGACAAATTTTTTTGTTTTTTGTTCAATTTGTGCTTATCTTGTCTATATTGTAAAGTTAAAACAAGATAGATTTTCTTTGTTTATTTGTAAACATCTATTTCACTACAGTAAACAAATATAACAAGCAAATGAATTATTTCATTTACGTCCTTTTTTTTTTGATTTGTTTGGTGTTGTTATTATTGTGGATATTTGTTAAATCTAAGCAAGAAATAAATAAGAGAACATAGATGATTTTTTTTCAATATTGAATTAATTATTATTTTAGACGATATGAATGAACGACAAATTATATTTGAATCAATTTTACCATCTGAACTTGATCCATCAAGATATTCAAAACCAATTATTGATGGTATTGAACAACCTTTAACAAGTAATTCAATTTTACTTTTTATCTTAACATTTTAATAGATTTAAATGAATTCGCGGGAAGATTCTTATATAATAAGAGATAGACTTTTTTCAAGAATTTTTATTAGGAGAAAAAAAAAGATATATTTGTTTTCATTGTTTTTTCTTTAGACAATCATATATTAGTCAGATTAAAATAACTTTTCTTGACTTATTTTCAGAATGATTGTGCCGTTCGTTTTCAATCTAAGTAACACTGAAATGAATTAGAACACGTTTAACCTTTTTATTATCGAAATATAAACTATTAGATGAGGTACGAAGCGAGATACTCCGATTAATTTTCTTATTTTCTGTTATTTAAATATGAGTTAAATGAAAAAAGAAAATTTCGATAAATATAAGATTAAACTTAAACATTCAATTCAATATAAATATATATTCATTATTAACTATTGAGTTATTAGATTTTCGAAGAAAATGTTCAAAGTAAATATAGAACAAATCATTTAATGAACTATTTATAAATTGATTCATTATTGAATCTAATATAAATTAACTAAAAGGAGCATTTCGTTTATCGAGTGGTATATATATTATCAAATTCTGTTGCGTATCGTGAGTGAAACTTTCATTAAAAAACTCATGGATTTCATACGTTGTTTAATGAGACGTTTCTATGAAATCATATAAAACCAAGAGAAAATCTAATCGAATCAAATGTATACCATTTGATAACTTACATTATCTACTTTGATATCTATGTCAAAATTCTCTATAGTTGTGTTACTTACCTTGATTTATTGGAAAACTAATAAAAACATCCCATCCTATCATTTATAAAACATCTGCACTATTAATCATCACTGTTTTTGAATTGTAGTGTACATAAATATATAAATTAATGTCAATATATAATGATGAAATAATTAGTTACAATGACAGTCAAACATCACTAAATGAACAATCAATAAGTATCAAATCATGAAATCAATCACCAGTGAAGCTTCTACCCATTTCAAAATGACACAAAAATTATTCAAGTCTTAGAATAACGAAATATTTCGTTTACAATGTTTAAAAAATTTTGACACATAATAACACGCTGGCGTACATGTGTCAAAGTGTGACAGTACTTCATGTGTCATTTTGGTTTTTTAAAGATTTTGACAGATGTACGCCAGCGTGTCATGCTGTGTCAAAATTTTTTAAACATTGTAAACGAAATATTTCGTTATTCTAAGACTTGAGCAATTTTTGTGTCGGTAGTGTACTATTTTGAAATGGCATTGTGTAGTAAAATAGTTGTAGCTGATCAGATAAACTATAATAGTGACAAGTTAATTTTTCATTCGATGAATTTTATAGAGTAATAGAAAAATCTCTGTTCGAAGACAAAGTTGATACGAATTTAGTTCTTAATGAATAAAGTTAATTGTTTAAATTAGATTTCTTTTTGTGAAGATATTATTTATATAAAATTAATTGTCTTATAAACTTAGCTCATTGAAAAATTTTTTTCGTTGAAACTTTTAAGTCGAATATTGATTAGATCTTTTTATTTATTAAATTGTTGTTAATAGATGAGAATATATTTAAACAAGATTATTTATGATTAATATTTATCTAAAGAGTTTTTTTATTTCTAGTAACATCAATAAATGGTGAATGTGTTGTTCAAGTACCTGCACCACCAAAACTAGTCGCATCAATAAAAGATGATTTTGAAGATGATGAATTAGTTGCTTATGCTGAAAATATTGAAAATATTCGTCCTGAACTTCTAACAAAAGAAGATAAAAAAAAAAAAGATATTATAAATAATCCATTAAATAAATATCGTCGTGGTGTATTATCAGTATCAGATTTATCTGCTCAAATATGGTGTGAACAACAATTAGCATATAAATTTCTTTATCCATTTATTCTTAATGATGATGGAGAAATAAAACGTGTTGATGATAAAGCTCATATGTTACGTGGTACATCATTACATTTAGAAAGAGAATTAGAAATTCAAATAAAAATTTCTATTCAATGTAATACACGTGAAGATTCTTATGCTGTTAGATTATTAAATATGATACAAGCCATTCATGGTTTATTAACATGGAATAAACCAAATCAACGTTATATAACACGTGAAATGCCTGTAAAATTTATTCAATTTTTATTAATATAAAATAAAGTTTTGTTTTCTTAAGATATTTGGAAATATGTATGACGGTAAATTATATTTTCGTGGTATAATTGATGAAATAAATTATGATCCACAAACACATAAATTAGAAGTTGTAGAATTTAAAACACGTGCATCAAAAACAACACCTAAACCTCAACAAACTTATACACATGAAATTCAAGTTAATTTATATCGAACATTACTTGATGAACTTATACAAGGAAATGTTAATAAATCACTTTATTTTCAACGTTTTAATCTTGAATCAACTATGTCTTTATCAGATTCAGTATTAAATGAATATAAACAACATGGTTTTACTGATATTCATACACTTGAAAATGCTTTTGATTTATTAATTAAATTAGCTTTTCAAATGCCAACTATAACAACAAGTAAGTCAATTTTACAGTCTTCGAATTCACAGAATTGTTTGATCATCCTAGTATAAAAAAGTTAGTGCATGTTGATATGTTCTTTCAAATAAATAAAAAAACAATATAATTATAATGAACTTTTTTATGATAATTCTTATATTTACAATTTTTTTGTAGTAAAATTTTTGTTATAATAATAATAATTAAAGTTGTGTATGTGTTTAGATGGTGCTATTGAATATATTCTTCAATCTGATGTAACATGGAAACATCGAAAAGAATTTCAACGTGATGAAGATCATCTTAAAAATTTACTTATTAAAAGTGAATCTTATTGGCTTGGTAAACGTGAAGCTGAAGGTGTTGATATTGAAGATGCATTTAAATGTCAATGGTGTGATTATAATAATATATGTACATGGCGTGAAGAAAAAGCAAATGAATTTTCAAGAAAAAAAAGACGATTTAATTAATTATTTTTTCAATTTCGTCATGTAGATAATGTAAAGATTTTTGTGCTTGTCATTAATCTTAAATAGATCTCATATTAGTATTTTTTTTTTCTCAACAAAATTTAAAAAAATAAAAAATATTTTCTAGATGACTAATCATAAACGAACTCTTTATGTTGGTGGTTTAGCTGAAGAAGTTAATGAAAAAATTTTACATGCTGCTTTTATTCCATTTGGTAAGCAGAATAATAATAATATTATTATTATTGATAACTAACTATGTACTAATGGTTTTTTAAAAGGTGATATATTTGAAATTCAATTACCAATTGATTATGAAAGTCAAAAACATCGTGGTTTTGGATTTGTTGAATATGAAACAGCTGAAGATGCAGCATCGGCTATTGATAATATGAATGATTCAGAATTATTTGGTCGATCAATACGTGTTAATTTAGCTAAACCAGTACATTTAAAAGAAACAAGTTCAAAACCAGTTTGGTCGGAAGATCAATGGTTATCAAATGCAATGAATTCAACTGATAATGATACATCATTAACAACAGATAATAATAATAATAATAATAATACAAAACAAGTTAAAAATCAAACAAAAGAGGATGATATTGATGAAATTGATCTTGATACAGGTCGACCATTATCAAAACGAATAAAAGCAGCAACAAATCCACGTGTTTATCTTGATATTGAAATAAATGGTAGTCGAGCTGGAAGATTAATAATAACATTATTTGCTGATATTGTACCATTAACAGCTGAAAATTTTCGTTGTTTATGTACACATGAAAAAGGTTTTGGTTATCGACATACGTCTTTTCATAGAATAATTAAAGAATTTATGGCACAAGGTGGAGATATGACTAAAGGAAATGGAACTGGAGGAAAATCTATTTATGGTAGAACATTTAAAGTAATTATTAAATTTTAATTATTTTATATAATTTATATTTGTTTTAGGATGAAAATTTTAATATTAAACATACACATGCTGGACAATTATCAATGGCTAATTCAGGTGCAAATAGTAATGGTTCACAATTTTTTATTACTTTTCTTAAATGTGATTGGTTAGATAATAAACATGTATAGTTTTATTTATATAGATATTTATTTACGTTATTTTTTATTTTTCTTCTATTTATATTAAGGTTGTTTTTGGTGAAATAATTGAAGGTTTTGAAGTACTTAAAAAAATTGAAGATGCTGGAACGAAAAGTGGAACAACAACTAAAACAGTGACTATTGCTGATTGTAATGAATTCAAATAAGATTTTCTCTTTTTCTTCATCAAACTTTTCTTTTGATGATTTAGAAAATTAAAAATAAAATTTCTTGTTAATAATAAATAAAATTTTTTTTATTTGATTAATATCTATATTCAAATTCAAAACACAAAAGAAAAAAAAGAATAATTTTAACTAAGAACAATTATATTCAAATATTGAAATCGATTATCTATTTCGTAGGTATATTCATATCATTATTTCTAAGGTAACAGTTCATTGTCTATATTAATTTCGCTTTTTGATCAATATCTGATTCTCCAATTTCAAACATATGGAATTTATACTAAGACAAACAATTCTAATATTTAAGAAAAATAATATTCTTTAAAATATCATTCGAACTAGTTTTAACTCATATGTATGAATAAAAGTTAAACTAATTGATTGTTGAGATAGACAACTTGTGAAATGTACTATTTTACAAATCGATATAGTGAATAAGTCGTTGATGGTCATTAATGCTCTCTCGTTTTTATCAATGTTTCAATTATTTATTTAAATTAGATATAATTTATTATTATTAAATTTCGACATTGAAAACAAAAAAAGAAAAAACAATTTGAAATCTGAATGATCATATTAAAGAATAAAAATCTCTGAAAGACAATGAATAAATTATTTAAAAAAAAAAGAATGATTTATAAATATTTGGAAGAAGTTGTATCAAATATAGTTGAAGATGCATCTTGTCTAGCATCACCTTCTAAAGTCATTCCTAATAAATGTTCTTGTTTTTCATCCATATTTAAATGTACTGTTAATAATCTTTGACTTATTGGCATTAATTGAATTGTTTTATTTCGAATAATAGATTTCATCCAAAAAGCAATAGCTGTACTAACAGCACCTGTTCCACATGCTTGTGTTTCATTAAAAACACCATTTTCATATGTTCGTAAATAAATAATTGTTTTATCATTATTAAGATAAGCTAAATTTAGATTTAGTGAATAAATTCCAACTTTATTTCGATAAATATTTAAATATTGATTTGCAAATAATATTAAATCAAATAAATGAAAATCTTCAATTGTTTTAACTAAATAACAAGCATCAATAATAATATGATGACTGCCAACATTAATATATGTCCAATCATCAATAAAACGTAATTCTTTATATAAAGGTAATTCTATAGCAACACGATCATTATCAATAAGTCTTGTTTTATATGAACAACCATTTAATATTAATTCAATATTATTATTTGAAAAATGTTCTATTAAATCAGCATGTCGAACAGCACATCGTGCTCCATTACCACACATAACTCCTGTTGAACCATCAGGATTATAAAAATCATAAATACATATTGATTTATTTTTATTTATTTCAATTAAAACAAGAAGACCTTCAGCATCATCTTGATTTTTTCGTTTACATAAACTATTAACTAGATTTTTCCATTGATTATCTATTGTATTTTTTCGATTATCAACAATAACAAAACGATTTCCAGCACCAGACCAATGTTCAACTTCAATTAACATTTAACTTATTATATAAAATTAACAAAAATATATTTACATATTTATCTTTAAAAAATATCAATAGAATTCTTTATCAATATTTTACAATTTTTAATTCTCAGAAATTAATAATAAACAATAATGTTCATCAGATAAAACAAGACTGATTTATGTTCATTATAAAATGAAATAACTAGAGAATATATATGTCAATCTTTCTTTAATAGATTAAGATCCGTTTACACTAGGATTTAATTAAATTGCTGTCAGTTTGTTCAGAAATATCAACAAAAATTATAGATTAAATCATCTTATTTCAGAATAGAAATAGATTAGAAGATCTTACACATTCAACAAATATATTTCAAAAGAAATTTTTTCTCTACAAAGTTTTAAGTTTGATTTGTAAAATAAATATTGTTAATATATCTGACGGAGACAACGGAATTTCATTAAAAATTAATATCGATGCAACAATAAACTAAGAAGTCAAAATCTTCTCAGCAACATAGATACAACCTAAATAATCCTATGTGAACATCGAAAAGAATTTCTTCGTTCAATTCTAAAATGATAAATAAACATTTTCTTGTTGCTTGGTTTTTAATCATCTTTTGTTTTTCTATATATTATAATGATGTTTCAAATAGAAAAAACAAAATATATAGAGAGACACATCCTGCTTCTACAAATTGGATAGACGCATCAAACAAAAAAAAATACGAGAAAAACATTGATATAAAATTGTACTAGATCAAACAAATAAAGGATTTGAGGATTTCATATAATGCTCGTAAAAAATATAATAAGGATATGAGTGGACAAACAAAACATATCTACTATAGTCAATCAATTAATTGATATTGATTAATTAACCACTACTACTGATATCAACTTTAACACCGGTATAAACTTGTACAAGTTTATCAAAGCCAGCTAATACACCAGCACCGGCTATACCTCTTAGAATGTTGGCACCAGCACCTTTAAATAATGCCATAACACCTTCTTGTCGTAAGATTTGAAACATACAATCCATTGATCCTTTATATTTAACAGCTTGACCAGATGTCATCATCATACGTCGTCGAATTGTATCAACTGGATATGATATAAGACCAGATGTAACTGTTACACCATAACCAAGTAAAAATGATAACATTATACCAGCATCAGGACCAAGTAATATTGGTTTTAATGTATCATAAAAGCCAAAATAACAACCACGATAAATAATTATTCCAACACATGATATAACGAAACCACGATAAAGACCAACAAAACCATCGGTTGCCAATGTTTTTTTATAAACATCAATAAGACCATTATATTTTCGTTCACCACCACCTTTCTTTATACTTTTAAGATCATTAGCCAAACGTGTACGAGCATAATCAAGTGAATAAACAAAGCATAATGATAATGCACCAGCTACACCACCACTTGCAACATTTTTACCAAAATTGACCATATATGGATCATTTTTATTTTGTTTAAACATTAATTTTATTTTATCTTTGAATGCAAAATTTAATGCCTATTTAAATAAATAATATATTTAGTAGTATTTTTGTTTTTTTTTTAAAGAAATAAAACAAACTTGTGTTGGAAAATATCGAATACAATTGGCTAAATTGCCTCGCCAAAATGGAAAAAGTCCTTCACTTTTGAATGTTCGAACAGTACAATCAATAACACCGGTGTATGGTCGTGATAAAGTACCTTGTTTTATCATTTCACCTTGATTTTGTACCAATAATTTAACACGTTCAATTGGAGCAGCAGCTGTTTTTGATACAACAGCAGCAACACCACTCAAGGCAAAATTTTCAATGAAACTTAATTTAGGTTTTTCTTTCTAAATAAATAAATAAATATATATATATATAAACATTTTTATTTCAATTTCATTTATTTACCACGGCCATTGCGCTTTAGTTAGACGATGAACTAAATTAGAAAACAAAAAAAAAAAATTCCAATTTTATCAATATGACCTTCACTAAAAATTCTTTCTTGCTTTACTTAAATATTATTATTGTTATTGTTTTTCTCTTGTTGTTGATGATTCCTATAGTCGTAAAGCGCAGAAAAGTGTCGAGTCAGAAAAAAAAGCACGCAAACAATATCAATGCGTAGAATACGAATAAAATATGTTAACCTCCTCAAAAATGCGTCGTCTTCGACACTCAAATAAATATAATGTTCTTTTTTAAGTCATTTATGCACTTAATAAAAATAAAAAAAGAGAAGAAAACAAACCTAGTGATATCTATCTATCGACAACCTTATTCATTTATTTCAATAACCAATCAAATGATTTCTTTAAGATTAATCTATATCGCTTTCGAATCGATTTGATACGAGTTATCGAGCTCGAAACACACTTGTAAATATATTTTAAATTCGATAAGACTATTGAAAAAGATGAATAATTTATTATTTTTAATGTTTATAATAATGACGATACTTAATTATATTTTGTTTTTATGAAATCAACTGTTACCTTGATAAAACTATTCATTTGTTTCAAATTAATAAATATTCAATATACTTTTATTGATTGTATACATTTTTTATCATCTAAAAATATATGATACTAATTGAAATTTTTCATAAAAATATTTAATTGATGAACAAATACTGTACATCTGTCTAGTTCATGTAATTAATTATTGTTATAAAAACTACGTAGATTTTCTTATTAAACATCAATACGAAAGAGAAATACGTCAATAAATAGAGAAATAGTTGAACATGTTAAAATAGCAGATCGAGAAGGTTATCATCTATTTGATAGAGATCAGGTATATGAAAATGAATTTGAAATAATTAGGACAAGGTTTAAAAACATGAATTATTTCATGTCAGCAATTATTAATAACAACGAAACTTTACACAACAGCTGGTGGACGTTCACAAGTCTTATGTTCATTTGAAGAAATTCTTTCGAGATTAAGGTCTAATTATATTGATGTATTAAAAGATAGTCATGTTATTTAGACTTATGATAATCCTATGGCATTTAAATCATACGGTCGAATTCATTCAACTAATGTTAGTAATATTGATGTTGAACATTTAGAAATTTAACCAGGATCTGACCGCCTATTTTCATTGGTTAATCAAATTGAATTAGAGCGTTTATAAATAACAATGTTCAATTATTGATTATTGTCGTCGATATGTCATTTGTTTAATGACATTTATTCACCATTAGCACGTAGACAAGCACAAATATTACATCGATTATCAATAAAAAATAATTTTATTTCAATAGAAAAAAACAAACCTCTTCTTAGGTCTTCTTGTTGTATTTGCGCAAACTATGCATTGCCTTTGAGCATTTTGTTTTGCCACTGTTGAATGTGTCAATGATGGAAAATGACGATCAACTAGTCTAATAGGATTTTCTCTAGTACTAGGCCGACCTCTGAGTGCTTTTGATTCCGAGTACATTTCAATAATTTCAAAAATCAGCTGTAGTTGAAACTCAGAAAATCCAATAGTTTGATCAGTCTTTTGTTTATGTAAGCAAAATAAAATATCAGTATGCCAATAGTCAATTTCACTTTTTCTTAGTTTTTTGATAAAAGTTGACATTTCAACTCTGTTTTGTCGTACTGTATCACAGGCACCAGTTGAGTTTTCATGTAGATATTCAAAAAGTGCTGGACTTGTGTATCAATTATCAATGAATAGATTGTGACCTTTCTGAAGATATGGCTGCATAAGTGTTATTAGAACTGCTCCTGAAATTACAAACTCTTCCATGTTGAGAATCTCTGTATGAGATCCTGTGTAAACTAGGAAATCTAATATAAATCCAATACGACAATCATATAAAATGAACATTTTTATTTCAAATTTATTTCGTGTTGTCGGAATGTATTGTTTAAAACTTAGTTGTCATTTATACAGCATTAAGCTCTCATCAATACAGAGGTTTCTATATGAAACCACAATATGTCTTCCATAATAAGTCTTATTTTGTATAATCTATCTCGTTCAGATTGATTGACGTTATCATTGAAATGTAAGAATTTCAAGAATAACAAAAATTTATCTCTGGGCATGATATCACCAAATATGAGTGTTGAAATCAGATAATCGGTCGACCAATAATCTTTAATTCTGTATTTTTTCACATGAGCCATCAATATAAATGTTGCCAAAAATAGAAAAATTTCATCTGATTTAGTTGCAGACCATTTTGCTCGATGTGATGCTAACAACGAATTATCATCAATTGAATATGCCTAAAATTTGTTAGTTTTGTCAACAATGATTTGAATTAACCTTTGATAAAAAATAGCTTGAAAAAGTCTAATGGTGCACTTCCATTCAAATTATTAATTCCATAAATGGAAAGTTACTTTTTGCCATGACCTTGAAGTATGAGTCAAATGACTAGATGACGAAGCATTTTTACTGTCTGAAACGTCTGTAGAACCTTCAGAAACACAATCACTGCGTTGTTCATCTTCGGAGCTACTTTCATCTTCTGGTTCACTTTGTGATTCATTTTCCGATTTACTCCAGCGACGATGTATATCTCTCATTTTCATTGTTATTTCCGCTATTGTTTTATTTGTTATTGAGTTATTGTTCAATATGGTAGTAGCCACAACGATTTTGAAACACAGAACAGGACAAAAATTTTCACAAATATAGAAAATTAATAGAAAGAGTTGAGAGCAATGTTGGTACATGATTATCGTTCTCTAACAGACCAGAAACATATTATACGAGACACTCATAAATGAATTACAAGTTGATACAGAGTCATCATGTATATATATACGTGATCCGTCCCGAAGGTGTTAAGTTTAAGAATTTATTTCTAGTTTTAATAAATTTTTCTAAATTTAAATTCATCAATCCGGTTGTCAAAACATATGACTTCAAAAAACTAGATCAGAAGCAAGCAGAGAAACTGATATTATGAAGTGGTTCGAGTTCGGTCTCTAGTATCGATCCAGTGTTATCCTTCTGTGACATTCCTAATTCAATTTAAAACAAATTTATATCGTTTGATAAAGTGCATCAAATCAGATTCGACTACGATTCGTATCGAGCTATACCTGCTCGTTTAGTCGTATCTTTCATCACAATGTGATTTCGTATAGAGAAAAAGCATTTACTTTTATCATAAATAACTATGGAAATCATATGAATTTTGGAATATTTTCCTCGTTTTTCCTTGACAATGATGTTTGAAAATAAGCATATGAGGTATTTCAGATGGTTGAGGGTCTTAGTGTGGGTGAGTAAATGAGGAAACCAAAACGATACACATACCTACACCTTACTTTGTTTAGAAAAACAATATATGCTATCACATTTCGATATCTTATCGATGGACACCAAACTAAAACGATAGAATTTGAGAAGTATATTACACATAACTTCTAAAAATAGTTATCAACTATTTTTGTATTGCAACCAATTCTCTTGGTAATGTTTTCTTTATGTACGATAGCCAATAACTTTTTTTTTTGATCCAAAGTATTATCAATCAAGTGTTGAATAATACGTTTTATTTAAAATTCACAAGTTAATTTACCCTATTAGTGATATAGTTGGATTTAACCGACTGTAAAGATATATAAGAGCTGATTGAAAAAGAAATTCAAGAGGAAGGTAACGAACAATAAAATTAGAAATCGCCTATTTAATATGAATAAATATAAATAGACGAAATAGAAAAATATAAACAATGCCGATGTAAAATAAACATTTTTTTAAAATCTCATGCAAATTTGTATATAATACTGCGATTAGATTAGCTTGACGGTTTGACTTATTTGACAGTGCTATTAATATAATTTTGTATAATATTTAAGCATTAATGTAAGAAAATGAGAGCCATATTGTTATTTTTTCTTAGACTAGAAACGATTTCAGACAAAGATTAGTCGCTTTCAAAGAGATTTTCTACATGAAACCGAAACATGATTCAAAGAAATTAAAATGAATGTAATCAGGTCGAATGATATTTTTACTGAAGGATTAAGATAATAAACCAGGTCGAGAAAACAACATGGATATCCATAGATGTAAACAAATTTTTGTTGATGATTCCAAGTTAGCAACAAAAAATGGTTCAATGTTTTCATTATTGTAAAACACTGTGAATACGCTATAATTATTGTTAATTATTTACGCTAGTTAAGTATTTTATGGTAGACTAATGAAATATGAATGATGAACAGAGAAAAATAAAAAAAAAATATATGTATATCTTGATACGAACTTTGCTAACTCGATCATGGTTTATTTTATTTAATAAACACAAAACATGTTTTATAACAATTAATACAAAATATCTAACAATCATTTCCATTCAAAATACAGGTTCTCAGCTATCCGTTTAATTCTAAAGTTCCATGGAAGTTTTTCAAGATTAATCATTCGATTTAATTTTTCAATCGTTTCATCATCTGCTGTTGGAACACAAAAACACAATAAACGAAGATGTTCATTATACTCATATTTTATTTTTTTCAAAATATATCGTAGAACAAATTTAAAATCCATTTTTTCTGTATAATTCACTTTGAGATATTTCATATAAGGACAAGTTCAAAAGAATAGAAAATTCTTGAATTCAACATAAATATTTTCTTCTGAAATCTCCAAATGATAAATTTGTGCTATAGTTAAAACATGTGTCATAACCATCTTTACGGTTTCATCAAAATCATGAAAATTAATATATTTAATAGTTAGTCGAGTAGATTTCGAATATTCAACAGAAGAATTTAAAATATTATCTTGTATATATTCGTACCATCTTTTTCTAATTAAAAAATAAAAAAAAAGGATAAGTTATTTAATAAAAAAAAATATCTTCTCGATGGACCTGTATGGACAAACTAAGTAATCAATAGATTCATGATCGATTTCAACTTCAAATGTCCATTTTCGATCAATCCAAAATGATGAAACAAATTGATCTGATGCTTCAGGATATTTTATATTCTTCATTAAAAGATTCAATATATTGTAAATAAAATTTCTTCCAATTGAGATAAAGACATTAAAATTAGTTGTTCCCATCGATGAGCACTAAGAAAATTTATTTGTTAAGATTGAGTAGTAACACGTAAAACTTTTAATTTAGCATCTATTTTTCTGATGAGTATTTCAAATTCATCAAATTTTACATCATTCATAGGTATTGAAATATCTGTTAAATTTGATAATGTAATTGGTAATATAGTTTGAATATTTGTATCAATATCAATACTATTAAAAAGTTTTAGACAACGAAGTTGAGGTGTATATGAAAGAATTGTAACAAGTTCATTGAAAGTACAAAATTGATAAGTAACAAAATATTCAATAGTACTCAATTGTCGATTGTTAGCCATCGGAAGTGTGATTCTGATGTAGTTATCCAAAAAGAATATGAACGACTTTAATACAAGTAAGGTGAATACTAATCGGTAAAGATCATTTAAATATCTTGACAAATCCGATGGTTGGATAATTAACGAGAAAAGACGAGGTAAACAAGCTAAATTAATAAGACGTGATATATGTATATCTGGTTGCTGTGGTTCAATACGAAGTGATTTAAGACGACTTAATGATGAATCGACGATAAACCACGAGAAAAAATTATTCTTTGTGATTCCGAGCCATACTTTGATTGAAAATATTTTATGTTTATTAATAAAGAGAAATTGCTTATAGTTGTCCATGCACGATTCATTATTATTTGAATAATGAAACATAGTTTTATATAAAAGCGATGGAGAATGCTTTATATATTTCATAACCATCAATATAATCAAATATTTCATAGAAAAATTCATTAGATAAATTTTCAATACAAGTTATTGTTTGCTTAAAGTCATCTATTTATATAAAAAATATATAAGAGTAGCTTATATTTACTATTTGAAAAAGTTACTTCGTAATTTTTTTATTTCTTCATTTGATGATTGATTAAATGTTAATTTTCGTTTAATTTGATCCATAATATCTCTGTTTTAACAAGTTTCAATTCAATGAATAATTTTGTTCTATACGAAAAAAAATATCATCAATGAATTATTGACTGATTTAAACGAAACACTATTATTTAAAAACAATCATACAACTATACTGTATGATGAACTGGAGAAGTCATTCTATCGTCAGTATCGATAATGATGTGGGAAACTAGTAACCATCTAACAAGTTTCTAATATTCAGAAAACTCCTATCCGTTTATAGAAAACAATAATATTCTATGTGAAGCGAGAACGGTCGCAAGTTTCAACTCTATTCTAGAAAATGACATTGTCATCTTTGCGAAAGTGTTTCTATGCACTTTATACTTGATTGATAAGGTTTTCTATAATTTATTCGTCTATCAAAGGCTAGATCAAAAACCTCATTCTATAAATATACTCATAACGAGTTTTCTTCATTAAACGCTTTATTTGAAAATAAATTATTAAAATACTGTTCTTCTGATTCTTGACGAATGCTTCTGATGTTTATATTCTATTTATTTTACATACTATGATCAACATCATTTGATCGATATCAGAACTTTTCAAAAAATCTCACCATAACTGGCGATGCACTATATGTCTTATTCTTTCTCTCGTTCTGAAAGAGTTTCTTCATAAAAGACGTTCATTTGAGTTGAATTTGTTTATTCTCATAGACACTATAAAAATATGTATTACTTATACTAAAGTTAATATTGATTCTATTTATGAACTACAACTTGCGTCGATAACTAACATAAGCAGCTACTTTATACACGAAATGCAACAGAAATGAATATCAAAGCGAAAGAAAGTACAAGTTGTGAAAGGACAGAAAATTTTTTTTCTTCTTCTTGAAATGGACGAAAATACCATACAGAACGAAAGAATAATTTTTTAGAATGTAGACGATTGATGAACCATGTGAGTATCTCGTGAAGAGAAAGAAAAGCGATAAAATAAGAAACAGCTAA